CCAGGTTTCTGTACGACAGAACACGCTGTACGACGTGTTTGCGAGGATAAGAAGGAGCGTAGTAAGGGTACGAATATGCTACAGAAGAGGGTCGTGAATTGTAAGAATATACCACTGAACGGCGTCGTGTAATGGTACGAATATGCTAAGGATATGCCATGAAGGGTTCCATGTTGTGTAAATGTCGTGTAAGGATATGCTACAGAAGGAATCCATGTAAAGATAAGGATATGCTACAGAAGGGTTCCATGTAAAGGAAGGGTTCCATGTAAAGATAAGGATATGCTACAGAAGGGTTCCATGTAAAGATAAGGATATGCTACAGAAGGGTAAAGATAAAGATATGTAAAGATAAGGATAAGGATCCTGCTACAGAAGGGTTCCATGTAAAGATAAGGATATGCTACAGAAGGGTTCCATGTAAAGATAAGGATATGCTACAGAAGGGTTTCCATGTAAAGATAAGGATATGCTACAGAAGGGATCCATGTAAAGATAAGGATATGCTACAGGAAGGGTTCCATGTAAAGATAAGGATATGCTACAGAAGGGTTCCATGTAAAGATAAGGATATGCTACAGAAGGGTTCCATGTAAAGATGAGGATATGCTACAGAAGGGTTCCATGTAAAGATGAGGATATGCTACAGAAGGGTTCCATGTAAAGATAAGGATATGCTACAGAAGGGTTCCATGTAAAGATGAGGATATGCTACAGAAGGGTTCCATGTAAAGATAAGGATATGCTACAGAAAGGGTTCCATGTAAAGATAAGGATATGCTACAGAAGGGTTCCATGTAAAGATAAGGATATGCTACATGTAAAGGGATATGCTACAGAAAGGGTTCCATGTAAAGATAAGGATATGCTACAGAAGGGTTCCATGTAAAGATAAGGATATGCTACAGAAGGGTTCCATGTAAAGATAAGGATATGCTACAGAAGGGTTCCATGTAAAGATAAGGATATGCTACAGAAGGGTTCCATGTAAAGATAAGGATATGCTACAGAAGGGTTCCATGTAAAGATAAGGATATGCTACAGAAGGGTTCCATGTAAAGATAAGGATATGCTACAGAAGGGTTCCATGTAAAGATAAGGATATGCTACAGAAGGGTTCCATGTAAAGATAAGGATATGCTACAGAAGGGTTCCATGTAAAGATAAGGATATGCTACAGAAGGGTTCCATGTAAAGATAAGGATAATGCTACAGAAGGGTTCCATGTTCCATGTAAAGATAAGGATATGCTACAGAAGGGTTCCTTGTAAAGATAAGGATATGCTACAGAAGGGTTCCTTGTAAAGATAAGGATATGCTACAGGGGGGTTCCATGTGAGGGTAAGGATATGCTACAGAAGGGTTCCATGTGAGGGTAAACAGTTTGCGTACAAACATGTGGACACGGGCTTTCTTTCAGACAACACAGGCCACGTTTATCTGTCTGGTTTCAATGGAGCAGCTGGGTCCACACCCAGTTTTTAAGAGAAATCAATGTAATCACCAGAGAATTGTATCGTACCTGACCCTTACCAAAAGAAGTTAAAAAGCAATGCTGCACTTTTATGTGTTGAGTCAACTACGGCTTAGTCACCACTGGGCTGCGTTCACCCTCATCCTATAAACAATAAATATCGTTGGTGTTTTCGAGGTACGCCATCTTGTTTTACACCAACCTGCACCGGCTTTTGCGTCCCGTCTGGAGTCTTTCACTTCCATCGTTGATGAAATGAAGTCCAGGCAATAGAAAAGATGGTAGAGGTGGGTACATGAACTGTGAAACTATTCTATCATCCGCAGCCGATCGGGGATGTAGACACACCTTTCTAACGGGGCGATCCGATACCTCAATTTGTGACATGACGGGCAGTTGAGGGGATAACCGTTTATGATCGTGATAAACACTACGTTTTACGAAAGAGATTCCAACTTAACGAAATAATTCCTAAGTGAAATAGTACTTCCCATACAAAGCCGGATGCTGTACTTTACCCTCTTATATTGCCAGCCCACTGAGATACTCTACCTCCGAATACCTCATTGAGAAATATAAAATTCCAAGCCAGCCCTTGTTCCATTCCTTGAAGTCTATCGCCAGGCAGGGTAACAATAAGTTCCGTAGTTTAATGTTTGGTGGTATGACGCGCTCGGCTAGTCAAAGGAGACAGTCCGCCAAGTGAGGAAAATATGTATTTAAGTGTGGTGAGATGACTATCAGAGAGTCGTTCATGACGTCTCCGAGAGACAAAGTAACACCCTGTGGAGACGTGAGGGTTGCTCTTGGTAACCAATGTAAGTATATAACGTGCACAATGATAGCCACGCAGTTTTCTTCAATTAAATCAAAATGAAAGGTACGGCAGTGGTTCCATGTGGATAAGCCTCGGCCTTTAGACTTACCCTGGATCAACACATAGACATGTAGCTCGATTCTATATCATACGTAGTGGATGGTTTAGATATAATCAGTTTAGAAAGCTTTTCAGTGTTATTATAATACCATTCTCGCATGTACGTGCCTTGGTGGAGAAATTGTATACAGAGAAAATATGGGAGGGACATAAAGTTAGAAGCAGATGAATGCAGAAACAGCAACAGACACGACCACAAATAGAGAAAGTGACACAACGTCAGCAGCTGAAAAGGAAACATCAAAATCAGGCACCGCGGCACCATCAGGCACAACGGCAGATAGAGAGGGTGACATTACGTTAACAGGTGAACACTGAAACAACATCAGGCACCACGGCAGATAGAGAGGGTGACACCACGTCAACAGGTGAACAAGGAAACATCAAAATCAGGCACCGCGGCACCATCAGGCACCACGGCAGATAGAGAGGGTGACACCACGTCAACAGGTGAACAAGGAAACATCAAAGTCAGGCACCGCGGCACCATCAGGCACCACGGCAGATAGAGAGGGTGACACCACGTCAACATGTGAACACTGAAACAGCATCAGTCAGGACATCAGGTAGACAGGGTGTAAAGCATTTCAGTTAACCGTTGCGTCTCTTCTATTCTGCATGTATTATATTTATTTTCCCCATAGCATATAGTGCCTATTTATAATGCGCACAAATCCACGCTCGTAAGCATGCTCATGGCGTTACAATTAAAACAATATGTACAGTAAGAGTGAGCTGTTTATGAGTCATAGAACTAAATGAAAAGGTGAGTTTTGAGATGGCTTTTAAAGGAGCCCAGAGTTGGTGCGATCTTCAGGTCAAAGGGTAAAGAGTTCCACAAGACCGCAGCACTGTGTGAGAAGGATCTGTGACCGAAGGTAGCTTGTAGGGAGGTACTGTCAGGATCTTGTTAGGACATTCAGCCTCTAGTAACCAAACGTCATGTTTTCCACTGATGTAAGTAAATGTTTTCTTACCTAAACAATACAGTTGCATTTGCTATGCTTGACTACTGCATAATTCAACATACAAACGAAAATAACAGTGTTCCCTATATTCTTTGTAACTGCAGTTAACCTGATCTTTTAGGTTATAACAAGTAATCATTGGCCCCTAAAATAAAGTGGAATACGGCAGAAGGTCGAAATTGAGTTTGGACCAGGCAATCCATTGACAAACATCTTGAGCATCGATCTACACAGTTTGGATGACAATCATCAACCAAGTGTACAAGCCTGCCAGGATATCCCGCTAGTCGCCTCTTACGACCGACTAGCACTGGTTTCTGAAGACCAATTCTAACCCGGATCTTCACGGGTGTATATATTGAGATTGTAGCAGGGGGACAATACATATCATCAGTCACCTAGACAGAAAGCGGTGGACCATTTTCACATTTCAGCAGTTGGACATTTCAATATATATTTAGAACCAACTCCGGGTCCCGTTCAGGAAATGGACCGTAGACTGATTCAAGCCTGTGTTGTGGTTCTTGGTCAAAGATGATGACGGTATCCCGAGGTGACGAGCCCAAGAGGACGTGTCACTCAGGCGTACCCGACATCTTCTGAAGCGAGTACGCGCAGTTAGAAGTAACACCATAAAGATCAACAAAACGCTTTCTCCAAATTCATGAAATTAGATAAATGTGGATGATCGCAGGCTCCAGTCGCTCGGTGTATTGATTGGGAGCGACGGCTGATACACAACGGATAAGCCATCAAAAGCGAACGCAGCCATAATTACGACTTGAGATATCCTACACGACAAGCTGAAGGGACAAGGTAATGGGCTGTCCAGTCATTTATCAAATATTAAGTTGTGATCAGTTTTATCATAATGTCGATGAGAAATGAGAGTAATTAGACGATTTATCGATTATTTTTGCCATCTTTCGAAAAGGCAGGTCACGATAAAAACTATTACTTCATTAAAAGAGCAATTCTGAAAAATCGATGACATTACAGATGGTTAAATGGGTTTATATATTGATATATCCTAGGAAGGAATTGTAACTGCGAAACTAAGTGTGTTTTTATATGCATCGATATCACACATGTTCTTTACAAGTTGGCTTTATGTAATAGGAGTCCATCAGCGGAGGCGGAACAGGCAGCCAGTTCGCAGTGGAAGGGAGGTAACTCGTGTAGTAGCTGACGTGATGTTACCCATTTTAAGACAAATTACTCGTGCAACTTAGTCCAAACCTGGTGTAAATAATAAAAAAATGTGAAAGACTATTTATTTTACATCATCGTAATCGTCAGAAATTGACAAAAGGACAGAATGTGTAAAATTTGAAAATGCGTAAAGTGATCTTGATTGCTGAAATACAATCGTTTCAAAGCGTTGGTCTTTAGTCAATGTACGTTGAGGTGCTCTCTGTGAGGTATATATGTGCATCCATTGGGTGGGTGTACGTACAGTATATAGCCACTCGTTTGGGTCGTGGTCGTACGTTAAACTCACACTGAATTTTACATGTGGGAGCGCGTGGTTGTGCGTTGTGATATTATATAAATATTAGTATTTGGAGCAAGCAATACCATTGAGGAAGTAGATAAACAGGTAAAAACAGCGATACACTGGTCCGTGTGCGTCCATTGTTTATTGCACTAGTGGTTTGCTTGTCACAGATATGAACATGACATATATGCAGCTAAAGTGAATCTGACAGTCTGGTGGCACAAGTGAATGGTGTGATCTCAATGTAACTCTCCAAAATCCAGACTCCAATTTATACTCCCGAGACAACAAACAGCGAAATCCATAAGGATTTGAGTTGGATAAAGAATATTCCCGGTGTGCACAGTTGCTGTTTGAGGGAATCGGGTAAAGTGTTCTCTACCAGAATTACAGGAAGCTGAATAAAATCTTCAACTAGAGCATTGTATCTGAAACTTTCCCAATGTCTGAAGAAATGTTTGAATCAGTGAGTGTGTTTGATCTTAAGTCACAATTCCAGCACTATCACAACGGGAAATGAGCTTCATATTGTACCTGTGTTGGGAATCGACCTCCACAGTGACCAAATGTAACTAAACCTGTGAACCCAGATTTGGACTTTACGTTTCAAGGTGGCATTATCTTCTTTTAAAGATCCGAACACGTCTGGGTCGGGTGCTACTTGTAGCCATAGCTCCCAAGGTAGTCGCCATTTTGCTTACGACCGTACTCAGAGCGAGGCGGGTTGTCTGGGTAACGTGGCCTGTCCGTGGATGGCTCACTGCGCACGCGTGGTGTCGTTTTCCGGGAATCTGTGCTGCCCTTGCTTGAGCAGCATACGCCAAGGAGCTCCCCGAAAAACTGCCCGATCTCAAAGACACTGATGACAGACAAGCCAATCCATAACCCTAGCGTCCCACCGATGTCGGACAGGAACTGGGCATCCTTGAAGTAAAGTAAATATATGACAAACATGGAACACAAATTTCTGTGACAGGAAAATCTAGTCAAATCTAACTTTGTATCATCGATTTACCCAGGGGCGGATCCAGAGAGGGTATGCGCTTCCCCCTGTCCCTCGAAAGAGATTCCCAGAGGAGCATTTCCCCATAATCTTTGGACGTCATGATGTATTTGCACTCCCTTTCACCAAAATCCTGGAACCGCCCCTGTTTACCTGTCTGGATCTTAGTTATGGTTCCAACAGAAATAGTATTGGTGATATGGTCTGATATCGTGCTACTCTTTCACATGACTTTTGGACAAGCCGAGCGTTCGAAACTACCGTTACAGGCGGAACGAGAGAGACTGTACACCAGAGAGACTGCCGAGAGTGATTACTGAGAAAACCGATATTACTAAGAGTATCGAGATTACTAACACTATGGAGATTACTAAAATTACCGATATCACAAAGGCTATCGATATGTGGGTACTTCGTGTATAGGGACAAGATAGAATGTGGGTACTTGGTGTATAGGGATAAGACAGAATGTGGGTACTTGGTGTACAGGGATAAGACAGAATGTGGGTACTTGGTGTACAGGGATAAGACAGAATGTGGGTACTTGGTGTACAGGGACAAGATAGAATGTGGGTACTTGGTGTACATGGATAAGACAGAATGTGGGTACTTGGTGTACAGGGACAAGATAGCATGTGGGTAGTTGGTGTATAGGGATAAGACAGAATGTGGGTACTAGGTGTACAGGGATAAGACAGAATGTGGGTACTGGTGTACAGGGATAAGAGAGAATGTGGGTACTTGGTGTACAGGGATAAGATTGAATGTGGGTACTTGGTGTACAGGGACAAGATATAATGTGGGTACTTGGTGTACAGGGATAAGATGGAATGTGGGTACTTGGTGTACAGGGATGAGACAGAATGTGGGTACTTGGTGTACAGGGATAAGACAGAATGTGGGTACTTGGTGTACAGGGACAAGATTGAATGTGGGTACTGGTGTACAGGGATAAGAGAGAATGTGGGTACTTGGTGTACAGGGATAAGATTGAATGTGGGTACTTGGTGTACAGGGACAAGATATAATGTGGGTACTTGGTGTACAGGGATAAGATGGAATGTGGGTACTTGGTGTACAGGGATGAGACAGAATGTGGGTACTTGGTGTACAGGGATAAGACAGAATGTGGGTACTTGGTGTACAGGGACAAGATTGAATGTGGGTACTTGGTGTACATGGATAAGACAGAATGTGGGTACTTGGTGTACAGGGATACGACAGAATGTGGGTACTTGGTGTATAGGGATACGACAGAATGTGGGTACTTGGTGTACAGGGACAAGATAGAATGTGGGTACTTGGTGAACAGGGATAATACAGAATGTGGGTACTTGGTGTACAGGGATAAGATGGAATGTGGGTACTTGGTGTATAGGGATAAGACAGAATTTGGGTACTTGGTGTACAGGGATAAGACAGAATGTGGGTACTTGGTGTACAGGGATAAGACAGAATGTGGGTACTTGGTGTACAGGGACAAGATGGAATGTGGGTACTTGGTGTATAGGGATAAGACAGAATGTGGGTACTTGGTGTACAGGGATAAGATGGAATGTGGGTACTTGGTGTATAGGGATAAGACAGAATGTGGGTACTTGGTGTATAGGGATAAGACAGAATGTGGGTGCTCGGTGTACAGGGACAAGATAGAATGTGGGTACTTGGTGTACAGGGATAAGATAGAATGAGGGTACTTGGTGAACAGGGATAAGACAGAATGTGGGTACTTGGTGTACAGTGACTGCAGAGTGTACACCACTAATGGAGTGGATACTATAATTAATATGTAGAAGATTGATAAAGAGCATGTGAATGACATGCGTGATTGGCAATTTCAACATACCACCAAGGCGCGTCATCTCGCCTCACCAATAATCAACAATGACAAAACAGTTCAACACAAACGCTTACCGCATAATCCGCATCCTCAGTGATGTTTTCGTAGTTGAGATCTTCGTAATATATGTTGAGTTTTATGAAGTTTTGTCTGTTAAAAAAACATGATCTTAGTAATAGTTCCAGTGTATCAGGGGTGGCGGGGTAGCCTAGTGGTTAAAGCATTCGCTCGTAACGCCGAAGACCCGGGTTCGATTAACCATATGGGTACAATGTGTGAAGCCCATTCCTGGTGTCCTTCACCTTGATATTGCTGAAATACTGCTAAAAGCTGCTTAAAACCATACTCACTCACTCCAGTATATGAATCATCATCTGAGCAACATTAAGCAAGGCAAGACCGATCAGAAACAATGCATCGATCGCACACGGAAGTTCCTAGTGTGCACTAAATGGCTGGGGAACATTTCTGGATATAGTATGATTTTAATAGTCAAGTTTCGTATCTTAGCTTCAAGATTCAAGATTGTAACCCAACAAGACATATGTACGTCATATTTTGCACCTTATACATACACCGATATATCAACGTCTTCATCAGACTGCTTTCGTCAATTGTACACATCAGTTTGGTAGGGCAAATGTAGTTATTATGGTATGGACGTGTATCACAACTATCCCTCTTGTAGGGTACGTCGCCCTGCCTCCTGTCATCAGGTACGACCATCCTTCTCGTAGGGCACGTCCCTCTATCTCCTGTCTTCAGGTGTGACATCCCTCTTGAAGGGCACGTCGCTCTGTTCCGTGTCATCAGGTATGACATTCTTCTTGTAGGGTCTGTCGCTCTGTCTCCTGTCATCAGGGACGACATCCTTCTTGTAGGGTACGTCGCCCTGCCCCCTGTCATCAGGTATGACCATCCTTCTCGTAGGGCACGTCCCTTTATCTCCTGTCTTCAGGTGTGACATCCCTCTTGAAGGGCACGTCGCTCTGTTCCGTGTCATCAGGTATGACATTCTTCTTGTAGGGTCTGTCGCTCTGTCTCCTGTCATCAGGGACGACATCCTTCTTGTAGGGTACGTCGCCCTGCCCCCTGTCATCAGGTATGACCATCCTTCTTGTAGCGCACGTCGCTCTGTCCGCTTTCATCAGGTATATGACATCCTTCTTGTAGGGTATATCGCTCTGTCACCAGTTATGGGTTATGTATTTGATAAAACATTGATCATTGCAATGATTTGAGATATGTTTGTTTTTCAATGACTACATACACAACACTTTATATGAAGCACAGTTACGATTTTCCTGTTAGTGTATGACACTATCCTATTTTTCTATAACAATCAGTTGGACAACGATGTACTTACGACAGCTGGTAGCCATCATATCGCCGTAGTCTCTTGCAGTGTTCCTCATCCCCCTTAGCACATATCGCCTCCACCAGGACTTGCTGAAACAGATGAACGTGGAATCAACATCTGGCAGCAGCTGGACAAACTGTGGATCTGCTGGGATACACCCGGATCTGAACCAACACGTCATGGCAAGGCAAAATGAACTCTTTTGCAGCACAAGCAGCTGCGCCAAAGACCTAGGCAAAGCGTTCTAAAAACTGAGAGTGAGTGAGTGAGTTAATATTACGTAAAGGCCACACTTTTGATGTAGACGTTGGTGTTCTGAAGGGAAATCTATATACTGAGTCAAAAAAGAAACTTCACATTCCTTCTTCAGGGCACTATAAAAGAACAAGAGATGGTAAGATGGTTAAATTGTTATTATTTCATTGCTGAGATTTGTGTGATGTACTCGATACACTGACAGTGCCATAATCATTTCCATTAGGCTACACCGCCGTTCCAAAACATGGGTTCCTGCAAATTCTGAGGTTGGTTCCTAAGACCACGAAGCCTTCTCCCAAGTGCATCCCAAACGTGCTCTATTGGATTAAGGTCAGGGGACCTCGATGGCCAGTCCATGACGTTGATTCCAGCGTTTTGAAGGAAATTTCGTGTCAACATCGCGGTATGCGGCCGAGCATTGTCATGCTGGAACTGTAAACCTAGACCATGAGCCGCCATGAAAGGAACGAGTTCAGGGGTGAGCACCTGGTCGCGGTAAGCAGCAGTTGTGAGGTTTCCACGAATGACCAGAAGTCGGGAACGGTTGTTCCCACAGAAAACATCCCACACCATGCAACTTCCGCCCCCGAATCTGTTGACTTCCTGTACACAACATTCGGCATACCGTTCACGACGTCGTCTCCAGACTCTATGCCTGCCGTCTGCGAATCTGAGGGTAAACCTGGATCATCGCTAAAGACGACTCGATTCCAGTCTCTCTGGGTCCATCGGAGGTGACGTTGGGCCCACAGCAGACGTTGACGTTGATGAAACGGCGTCAATATTGGCCCACGATATGGACGTCGGGAATGGAGATTGGCAGCCCGCAACCGATTTCGAATGGTCTGTGAGGACAGTCGACCTCTAAACATCTCAGCCCTGGTTCGTGAAATCTGTCACGTAGGTGCCGTAGGACGATTTGACGGTCTTCTGCTCGTGACGTCACACGTGGACGACCCGACCTTGGGCGGTCAGAAGTGGTGCCAGTTTGTTGTAGACGACCTCGTTAGTCATACAGTACGACGCCTGCATCCCATTGCTCTTGCGACGTCAATAACTGATCTTCTCGCTTGCAACATGCCAACGGCACGTTCACGTTGCACATTTGACAATCGTGGCATTTCAAGTACCGTTAGAACTGTGGTTTGAAAGTGTTTTTTTCAATTCTTTAGGCCAAGGCAAACACGTGCATGTGAAGAAAACTTCGATGCGAAGATCACGTGATCAAACCTGATTTGGCACTAACGTCATTTGCACGACGAATGGATTGGTTTGAGTGGGTTTTGCTAACGTTTTTCTTGAGTCGAAAGATAGGGATCCCATTTCGGATACATAGATGTATCATCCGAGAAATATTATTCATTATTTTTCAAATTACATTTTGTGAAGTTTCTTTTTTGACTCAGTACATATCAAGACTATATCAAGATGGAGGCTGCTGGAAAGATCTGACAGACACTCACCCCATATTCCACGGACGGCCATTGTCGGCTGGAGATGCTTTTCACGAACGTCGATTCGCTGAAAGAGGGTGACATGGAAGATTGTCAATCATCAGAAACATTTCACATCGGCTGGCTGCACATGCGATTGGAAGCAGATTGATTGACATTCTTCACACACACAAAATAGCAAAGTGAGCGAAATTATCCACGATGTGAATAGTGATTTTCAATGTGATTCTTGCCCTAGATACGAAATATTTAACAATTTTAAATGAGATTTATAATTTTTGGGAAATCTCAAGAATGATTTCCGAAAGTAGACATGACGCTTTGGTGACCTACACAAAATCGACCTGGCGACATTGCGTACCTGCCCCATGGTTTTTCTGTCCAGCTCAAGAAATTCATGATGCATTTTGTTCTGACAGAATGTTTATACCGAAGGTGAGTATATGCAAACAAAGGGGAAAGGAATACTCACGTGCAAGGACTGTAGCACACGCAATCCGATGAGTACTGGCCAAACTCGTATTTCCTCTTTACCCTGACCATGCATTCAATCTCTGTGTGTATAATCATATTGGATCTCAGTGTCGAGTAAAAAACTGTGTCGAGCATTTCTTGGAAGGGAACAATCATGATGAAATGTTTCCCACAGGTCAATATCACTCCTCTCATACAGACCCTCATGTTGGAGAACAATGTTTCCCACAGGTTAATATCACCCCTCTCTCACGGACCCTCATGTTGACAGAACAATGTTTCCCAAAGGTTAATATCACTCCTCTCATACAGACCCTCATGTTGGAGAACAATACACTACCTGGTATGTAGGTCCCTCAGTCTATGGACAATACACTACCTGGTATGTAGGTCCCTCAGCCTATGGACAATACACTACCTCGTCTACAGACCCTCATCTTTGAGAACATTACACTACCTCGTCTACAGACCCTCATGCTTGAGAACAATACACTACCTCGTCTACAGACCCTCATATTTTAGAACAGTACACTACCTCGTATGTAGGTCCGTCAGTCAATGGACAATACACTACCTCGTATGCAGACCCTCATTTTGGAGAACAATACACTACCTCGTCTACAGGCCCTCATGTTTGAGAACAATACACTAACTCGTCCACAGACCCTAATATTGGAGAACAATACACTAACTTGGATGTAGATCCCTTACTCTGTGGACTAGTAACTTAATGGATTCCTCTGTCTGAGTCTAATACACTACCACCTTCATGGATTCCTCTGTATGAGGAAAATACACTACCACCTTCATGGATTCCTCAGTCTGAGGACAATACACTACCACCTTCATGGATTCCTCAGTCTGAAGACAATACACTACTACCCTCAATGATTCCTGTTGGAGGACAATACACTACCACCTTCATGAATTCCTCGGTCTGAGGACAATACACTACCACCTTCATGGATTCCTCTGTCTGAGGACAATACACTACCACCTTCACGGATTCCTCTGTCTGAGGACAATACACTACCACCTTCATGGATTCCTCTGTCTGAGTATAATACACTACCGCCTTCATGGATTCCTCTGTTTGAGGACAATACACTATCACCTTCATGGATTCCTCAGTCCGAGGACAATACACTACCATCTTCATGGATTCCTCTGTCTGAGAACAACACACTACCGCCTTCATGGATTCCTCTGTCTGAGTATAATACACTACCACCTTCATGGATTCCTCAGTCTGAGGACATTACACTACCACCTTCATGGATTCCTCTGTCTGAGTCTAATACACTACCACTTTCATGGGTTCCTCAGTCTGAGGACAATACACTACCACCTTCATGGATTCCTCTGTCTGAGGACAATACACTACCACCTTCATGGATTTCTTCTTTCTAAGGACAATACACTACCACCTTCATGAATTCCTCAGTCTGAGGACAATACACTACCACCTTCAGTGGTCCCTCAGTCTGAGGACAATACACTACCACCTTCATGGATTCCTCAGTCTGAGGACATACACTGCCGCCTTCATGGATTCCTCTGTCTTAAGACAATACACTACCGCCTTCATGAATTCCTCTGTCCAAGGACAATACACAGCGACCCGCCTTCATGGATTTCTCTGTATGAGGACAATACGCACCCACATTCATTGATGCCTCTGTCTGAGGACATAATCTACAGTAACTTCATTCACAGAAGAAGAATTCTTATCGCCATAGTGGGACAAATGACCTTTGAATTTACTATAGTTAGAATGATTATGATCATGTCATGCGTATTTGCCTATGCTTTCAGCTAATGGGTTGCGGCGTACAACATCATTCACTTCAATTCGATATACAGTTTTACCTGACTGATTCTTGCAGTCACTATGGGCGTCCGACAGATGGAATATCCTGTTCATATCCCCCTGGCGACCGTCATAGCATCCACACGCGTTCACGATGAGGCGCACGAGGCAGTAGTCCTGACAGGCCTGAAACGTGCATACAAACACAGATACGAGATGAAGCACTCTGGGGGTAGGCAGCAACATTTGGGGATATTAACTATTCCCAGACTGGTTCCTGATTTACTGACATCACTGCACTACCGCTAATGGCTTGATCCCATAATGGTTCATTTTTAACTAGCTTTATCGGAGAAATATTTATGATGAATTGGGGGGATTAGTCTGTATCAACTCACCTGTCGTGTGTATGTGACGTTGAAGTCCCTCTTGAACTGTATGCCGTCATCACAGTAGCCATAGGGTCGACCGAGGCGCTGGATGTTTACCTGTACGTAGTTGGTGTTACAGCGTGAATATAGCCGTACAGTCATTTCAGGTATAAATTGGAAATAGTTCAGTTTAACCAGAGAGCGGACTGAGCTATAAAAACACTGCCTAAAGGACTGTCTCATTTGTGACATCGGACAAGCCTGGATATTCAATGGTAATAGACGTTAGCCATATTGTGCACACGCACGCACGCACGCACGCACGCACACACACACACACACACACACACACACCTAACACACCTATTGCCCATGTCGGAACCCTTTATTTATTAGTAATTTATGGATATGTAAGAAGTTCATGTTGAGGTATATGGACTATAGTTGGTTACCCTCTTGAGGCCGATAAACGTCTCTGTTCCCCCCGATATTGCAACCCCGTTCTGTTCAAGAAGGGGCACGGTGCTCTTGTCGTGAACAACCAGGTGAGCGCCATTGCCGTTTGTCCAACCACGTAGATATTCGTAGTTCTCCAGGAACAACACCATCTCAACACCTGAGGCAGAATATAAAGAGTCACGAAACATGCCCCCAATAGCTAAGTTATACTTATAGTCCAGTCAATTTATGAGAATACCCACCACAAATTGCAACAGAAATGATTTCAACTGTTTTAAGACCCTGAAGCATTCCTTTATAACATATAAAAAGTCTAGGAAAATCTCAGTGGTGGAACAAGGTCAAATTCGACCCTCAAGGTCAAAGGGGGTCATCTTCGCTTTCAAAATCTTAGATATAAATGCAAACTTTTTTGTAATTTACTTAATTGTGTCATGTTATATATCAAATTAAAGCTCAGATTACAGGCTTTTCAGAAATATATTTATACATTCAGAAATAAGGATTAGTCTCATCATATTGTTCTTTTTTTAAAAAAAAACATTCCGAAAAATATGAAAATCGTATCTGGACATCCACATGTATATGTATGCTACGATTATGCCAAAATATTCATTTTTCAATTGTGTGACAATTTTTAACATAAAGAAATATTGTGATGAATATGAATCAACCAATAGTCATTCCAAATAATAATGAAATAGAACGAACGATCAATGTTTTATATCAACACATTTTCATCAAGTACAAGGATAGGATCCTTTTGCCATCTCTTTTCCATCCCCAGTCTGTCACAAAGTGGATGAAAAACAATGTCACACCAAATGACAATGATAATTTCCAGTCAGCCTTCATCAAGTGTTTTTAAGAACGTCTTCCTAAGGCTTGGAGGAATTCACACACAGATAAGCTTTTTTGGATGCATTGGAAAAATCATGTCTGGATCGGTTCTGTTTGAACTTCTGATATATGCCAGTAGCACAGTTAGTCACATACTAACAAGGAAAGTTGTTGCCAGAGCTATTCGAGCTCACTTTCTTGTAGACACAGCTCTCAATGGTCTGTTGGTATCAAGAACTTTAAATGTGAGCCTTCCTAGCTTCCGTAAACCTTCTGATGAAGCCGACCTCGCCACTCCCCTCCACTGATGATGAGGATCTCAACATGCGACAGTGCTGTAAAATGAGCTGGTGAGTGAATCCTTGACTGTTGGGGAAGTATCTTCTTCAAACACATTAGAAAGCATTCACCGTCTTGTTAACCAAGAAAACGGTGCGCTTAGCAATATGAGGACAGCAAAACGTTGGATCCAGTACATGAACATGGTGGATATCTTAAGGATTTTCATTAAAGCTGAAAGATAAGGAAATTGGAAGATGCACCTAAAGTCTATTGCTGAGATATTGCCATTATTTGCAGCAGCTGGTCATAACTTGTACACCAAAAGCAGTTCGGTTGTACCTTCAGATGATGGCCTGTAACATATGTTATATTTGGGATTACATTTTCTTTTGTTGGGTTGAGTCCCATCCGGGAATCGAACCCACACCATCAGAGTCAAGCACCTAATCACCAGCACACAAAATCAGACGCCTAGACCCCTCAGCCACCGCGGCTTTTGATTATAGTGTTTCCCGTGGTCCAGCTTCTACTGCTGTGTATGTATCTCGATGGCGGGGCTTTGCTGCATACTCTACCTTGGCCACGTACTGCACATATGTCAAAAGACACTATGGCAGAGATACTGTTGTGTTGAATGGATACTCAAGTTCATGGACAAAGTATACAACACAAATGAGACGGACTGGTGGACTTAAATTTGGTTAAATTTGATGAGAGTATGATTTTACAATCAAAGAATGTTCAGAACAAACAACGGTTCATCATGATGATGTGTTCCTATCTAGAAGCTGAAGGATGTGACACAGTTCAAGCCACTGGTGATGCTGATGTGATATTTCAAACAGCAGTTTCACTGGCATGCCAGTCATAAACAGTTCTCATAGGGGACGACACGGACATGCTGGTGACACAAATCTGGACTCGCATGATATCTTCTTGCAGTCAACACCCAAGAAAAGTTCTTTGAAAAGAATTCCATTTTGGAACATCAATGAAACCAAGAAGAAGCATGAAGCATTGTTGTTCATACATCCTGTCTTAGGCTGTGGTACGACATCAAGAATCCATGGAATATGAACAGCAAAACAAATCATTCAAGCTGGAGGGAAGGCCATGGTTTGTCTCCTGTATGGAGAAACAGGTGAAAGTCTGAACTTACTCACAGACGTTTTTGTGACAAAATAGCCTCAAGCCAGATGCATGTTTATCCTAAGAATCGTCCACCAACCTTAACAGCAGTCAAGTGTCAGTCACTGGGCTCACTTTCAGATTCAAGAGTTGAAAGGAAATTACCATCCGCTTAGTTTGACAGATTAAGGATGGAAAAGAGATGGCAAAAGGATCCTAACCTTGCAGATCTTCCCCAAGCTCCAACGGAACTGTTGACAATTATCATATGCAACTGTAAAACAAATATTGATCCACTCTTAATGAAATACCATTTATGAAGTTGAGTAATAGACGACTCTCTCACATAACTTTCAATCAACAAAATGACTTGTTTTTCATCATTTTACCTGGAGAAAATGTGTTGATATAAAATACTAGTATTGATCTTTCATTATATTTCATTAGTATTTGGAATGACAATTGGTTGGTACAGATTCATCACAATATTTCTTCATGTAAAAATTCTCACACAATTGAAGAATGGTCATTTCTATATAATCGTTTCATACATATGTACATGTGGATGTCGGGAAACGATTTTCATATTTTTCGGAACGTTTTTTTTAAAAAAATAGAACAAATATGGTGAGGCTGATCCCTAATAAACCATATTTCTGAAAAGCCTGTAATCAGAGCTTTAATTTGATATATAACATGACACAATTAAGTAGATCACAAAAAGTTTGCATTTCCATCTAAGATTTCGAAAGTGAAGATGATGGGAGTGGAGCAGTCTCGGTAAACATAGTCTCAGTATTTTTCGTTACACTGCTATACTGAGTCTAACAAACCCTAGTAGAAGGTCGCGTCAGCTAACCTTTGAGCGACGTGTGACCGTGCAATCAAATGCGAGAAGGTCGAACGGATTTAACCAATCAGATAACGGCTACTGTTTCCCGGTCACTGACACTGATCTCTCAAGAAACGAAAATCCGCATAAAACACATATATTTGAACGGCAGTATCTACGCTTAGGGGCTTCTGGTGATATGGTTACCATTAGCTCATGTTTCCGCAAGCTGACTGAATATTGATGGAAACGCTATTTTCAGCGACTGTTCACAGCGACGTGCTCCAGCTGCATTACTCGGAAGCATTGGAATCGTTCGGGTAAAACCTTTTCGAGGTAAAAGTTCAAAAGGCATGTGCGAATGTCAACTTTCGCGATTTGGTAAGCTGTGTTCTGATTGGTCAATTGAAAAGGTTAGTTGACGCGACCTTCTACTAGGCTTTTTCCACAGTATAGCAGTGTAACGAATAACGAAGTTTACTTAGACTGGGGGGTAGAGCGAACTGTATTTCTTTTCTAAGATGCCCAACTTAATACTCAAACACGATTAATCAAAGCAGAAAACAAACGGGAAAGCGACGGTGTCTGCGTCTAAATTGACAATCCTCGTTCAGGGATAACTGACGTGCTGTTCTATTGACGCTTCTTCTCCCCACGTTAAGACACACGTTCCCAGGAAAACAACTGATAAACAGTGTCATCGCGGTTTACGTTCGGATTAAACAGTGTGATGACGGTTTACGTTCGGATTAAAGATCTTCTCTATATTATAATAATTACGTCCGTGATTATCGTAAACCATATGGGGCAAATATAAACGTCGCATTTCTACTACCAACGTAAGTTTAGAACATCGAGACGAAGCGGACTTGTCACCCGACCTTCCATGGATGCATTCTGGGACTGTGGACATAGGCTTTGTTAGCGAACATGGCTGTATCGGTGTTTAATTGTGAATCGAGCTGAGACATGTGTTAAGTCGTAAAGGATAGACATAATGTTTTCACCAGTGATGTTTGCCGAGTGACGCAACTGCAAACCGAAGAAACATAGTGCTATGAGATAATGACATACGACATGCATCGTGATGTAGGTTACCAAGGGTACGTTTGATAACGAGGTGGCCGCGAATGGCGTAATGGCGTCATTATAGTGTGACGTCATGCAAAAAGTGTACTTTATCGCCTGATACAGTACTGTCGGCGACTTTGACCGTTTAGCGAAGCCTCGTAGAACATCGAGCAAATGTTACGGGAGGTCCCTTATAAAGTTACCCGACACAAGAGGCGAGTCAAAGGCGGCGCTTATACCTATCCCCACTGGTCTGATGCTATTTCGGTGACCGACGCCACACTCACCAGACCGTCATCGTTGTTACATTGATCATCGATGGCAGGTGCCCTCGCTTACTCAGCTGACACGCTACTCACCGTCATCATCAGGTCCACTCTTCTTCCGGCTGATAAAGTCCGGGTACTCCAGGGTGAAACAGTTCCCGCAGGTCATGCGGAGGGTGGATGAGGTAGTTACTGAAAACCAAATGTTAGATATAATATGTCGAGCACTCTTACAAGACATAATGCCTTTCTCCCTGAAAGCCTTTACATGGGAGTGGAGCAGTCTCGGTAAACATAGTCTCAGTATTTTTCGTTACACTGCCATACTGAGTCTAACAAACCCTAGTAGAAGGTCAGCTAACCTTGAGCGACGTGACTGCGCAATCAAATGTGAGAAGGTCGAACGGATTTAACTAATCAGATAACGGCTACTGTTTCCCGGTCACTGACACTGATCTCTCAAGAAACGAAAATCCGCATAAAACACATATATTTGAACGGCAGATTCACGCTTAGGCTTCTGGTGATATGGTTACCATTAGCCTCATGCTTCCAAGCCGACTGAATATTGATGGAAACGCTATTTCAGCGACTGTTCACAGCGACGTGCTCCAGCTGCATTACCGGAAGCATTGAATCGTTCGGGCAAAACCTTTCGAGGTAAAGTTCAAAGGCAGCCGTGCGAATGTCAACTTCGCGATTTATAAGCTGTAAGTTCTGATCATCAATTGAAAGGTTAGCTGACGCGACTCTTACTAGCTTTTTCCACAGTATAGCAGTGTAACGAATAACGAAGTTTACTTAGACTGGGGTAGAGCGAACTGTATTTTCTAAGATGCCCAACTTAATACTCAAACACGATTAATCAAAGCAGAAAACAAACGGGAAAGCGACGGTGTCTGCGTCTAAATTCAATCCTCGTTCAGGGATAACTGACGCTACCCCATTGACGCTTCTTCTCCCCACGTTAAGACACACGTTCCCAGGAAAACAACTGATAAACAGTGTCATCGCGGTTTACGTTCGATTAAACAGTGTGATGACGGCTTCATTGCCTCGGATTAAAGATCTTCTATATTATAATAATTACGTCCGTGATTATCGTAAACTATATGGGGCAAAATATAAACGTCGCATTTCTACTACTAACGTAAGTTTAGAACATCGAGACGAAGCGGACTTGTCACCCGACCTTCCATGGATGGCCTGACTGTGGAGACACAGCTTTGTTATGAACATGGCTGTATCGGTAAGCTTAATTGTGAATCGAGCTGAGACATGTGTTAAGTCGTAAATGATAGACATAATGTTTTCGACTCAGTGATGTTTGGGTTTATGACGCAACTGCAAACCGAAGAAACATAGTGCTATGAGATAATGACACATACGACATGCATCGTGACGTAGGTTACCAAGGGCACGTTTGATAACGAGGTGGCCGCGAATGGCGTAATGGCGTCAATATAGTGCGACGTCATGCAAAAGTGTACTTTATCGCCTGATACAGCACTGTCGGCGACTTTGACCGTTTAGCGAAGCCCGCAGAACATCGATAAATGTTACGGAGGTCCCCTTTATAAAGCCACCCGACACAAGAGGCGAGTCAAAGGCGGCGCTTTATACCTATCCCCACTGGTCTGATGTTATTTCGGTGACCTAGAACCACTTGTTTTCACTGTTCTTCCGGCAGCGAAACCACCACAAGATCCCCTCAGCTGGTGTCCAGTTGGATACGTTTATATTCAGTAGTAAATAGAGGAATGTTGTATTGAGGGAAGCGAGGATGTCTCAGGTGTAGTGAGTAGCGGTGGGAATATTGCATTGAAGGAGATGTTGAGGTCTGTAGTGAGTAAAGGGAATATTGTATTGAGGGAAGGAGATGTTGAGGTCTGTAGTAAATAGAGGGAATGTTGTATTGAGGGAAGGAGATGTTCAGGTCTGGCAAAATAGAGGGAATGTTGTATTGAGGGAAGGAGATGTTCAGGTGTGTAGTGAGTAAAGGGAATATTGTATTGAGGGAAGGAGATGTTGAGGTCTGTAGTGAGTAAAGGGAATATTGTATTGAGGGAAGGAGATGTTGAGGTCTGTAGTGAGTAAAAGGAATATTGCATTGAGGGAAGGAGATGCTGAGGTCTGTAGTAAACAGAGGGAATGTTACATTGAGGGAAGGAGATGTCTCCGTCTGGTAGTAAGCAGAGGGAATGTTGTGTATTGAGGGAAGGAGATGTTGAGGTCTCTAGTGAGTAAAGGAATAACATTGTATTGAGGGAAGGAGATGCTGAGGTCTGTAGTGAGTGAAGGGAATATTGTATTGAGGGAAGGAGATGTTCAGGTCTGTAGTGAGTAAGAGAATATTGTATTGAGGGAAGGAGATGTTGAGGTCTGTAGTGAGTAAAGAGAATATTGTATTGAAGGAAGGAGATGTTCAGGTGTGTAGTGAGTAAAGGGAATATTGTATTGAGGGAAGGAGATGTTCAGGTCTGTAGTAAATAGAGGGAATATTGTATTGAGGGAAGGAGATGTTCAGGTCTGTAGTGAGTAAAGGGAATATTGTATTGAGGGAAGGAGATGTTGAGGTCTGTAGTGAGTAAAGAGAATATTGTATTGAGGGAAGGAGATGTTCAGGTGTGTAGTGAGTAAAGGGAATATTGTATTGAGGGAAGGAGATGTTCAGGTGTGTAGTGAGTAAAGGGAATATTGTATTGAGGGAAGGAGATGTTGAGGTCTGTAGTAAATAGAGGGAATGTTGTATTGAGGGAAGTAGATGTTCAGGTCTGCAGTAAATAGAGGGAATGTTGTATTGAGGGAAGGAGATGTCTCAGGGTGTAGCGGAGTAAGGAAGATATTGAGGGAAGGAGATGTTCAGGTAATTGTAGTGAGTAAAGGGAATATTGTATTGAGGGAAGGAGATGTTGAGGTCTGTAGTGAGTAAAGAGAATGTTGTATTGAGGGAAGGAGGCGTTTAGGTCTGGGAAATGTTGGGGACAGAGTATTTATACAAGGACACGACATGTTTAGCCTCTTAACAGGAAAACAGAGAATACAGTAGGTCTAGACAAGGGCAGTTCTTAAGTTTTTCAGTGGCGATGGTCTGCTGTGCGCATTACCTTGGTATCTTACCAAAATATGGCCTTCAAATTCATGCTCAATTTCAGATTCTGTCGTTCTTGGTGATTGTTTTTGCCATTGGTCATTGAAGTCGCTATTGATGGTGTCAGAGATGTTGACGTAGGAGTCGTGACGCTTACTTTAAATTCGTCCGGGCCAACGTTTACGTCTTCGCTTGCCGGAGCCACCCTGTGGACATTAAGAGGACGGTTTATGGTAACACCCTCTTGGAACTGTAGTAAACTAGATATACGGTAAGCATACTGTATTGACTTTCCATGGTGTAGTTTAACACCCAGAACCTCTATAGTACATCCCATCTGACTGGCCGAGGAATGGCATATTGTATCATCCTCCAGAAGTATTACGCAGACGTAGGATCGAACCTCCGACCCTCACGTTGTCAGATTGTGGGCACTGTCCATACGGTCCGGCTCTACCTCGACCTTACCTATTAGGTGTGCGTCTGTACCCTGCACTGCAATCAAGCACTCACACACGAACCACATTCCTCTCATCTACGGGCCATTTGTCACTAAACATGGTCAACATACATGTTTCCTTCATTTCTTAACTTCTGACGTTCATTAAGGGTCAAGCCTAGCCAAGCGAAACCGCCATATCTCTTCATACTTCAGATCTCGCACAAAATATTCAAACTGGACGAAAGGCTATCCAAAGACTGAATGACACGAGGGGTGACCTGAACTTTCCCGAGTAAACTTTCCTTTGATGTCGTCAACATTCATCCCAGCTTCAGCCTTGAGTTTTAGCAACTGGTTGAAGTACACTTCGGAGCAGGCGTATTGTTTGAAGATGTCAAAGAGCCTGTGGGTATATTGGTAAAAGATCAGGAGTTACAATAGTCAAGGCCCTTAGTTAAGGTTTTAAGGGGTTGCGGTACATAGGCGTAGGGACGATAGTTGTCGTGATCAGTGACAAAAATGATGTACACTGCTAGTCCATATTTAAACTTGTATCATATGTTCATGATAGGTTTTTAAAGGTTAACTCAATGCCTCTTTTGTTTAAAGTAGTGGCAGGATACGTTCACCCCATTATCATTACTGAGAGACATCCGTGCTTGTGGAATTGTCGAAATAAGGACACGTCTTATAATTATGGAAAGCGCTTTACCTCTTATATTTCTGTTATGTATATGACATTTACTTTCATAGACGTCTTACTTGGTGGTCGAGGGCTACTTCCGGGTCCTGAGGCTGGGGTACTTCTGGTTCCTGATGCTGAGGTCCTTCCGGTCCCTGATACTGTGGTACTTCCGGTCCCTGATGCTTGGGTACTTCCGGCCCCTGATGCTGCGGTACTTCCGGGTCCTGATCCTGCGGTACTTCCGGTCCCTGATGCTTGGGTACTGCCACTTACGGATGGTTCTGCAGCTGAATTAGTGTTCTGGGAAAAATATAACAACACACGTTAATAAAGGCCCAAACTTCATCAATAGAAAACAAGTCAAAACATTGATTACACAACAGTGTCGTTTCCTTTTGACTGGGTTCCATCCTATTGCGCAACTTAGTACAATAACCAGTCCAGAATTTTGAGACCAATTCATTTAACTGGATACATAATCAGTATTATTTGATACATCCAAGCACTTGTATATTGCAACACTACGCTCCTTATAATCCTTGCAAACATATCGTGCAGCGTGCTCTGTTGTACAGCGAGCACTGACAAACAGAAACCTGGAAATCGTGAAACTCTTAAAACGAGGCTCTGCCGCTTGAAAAGTTTGGCGGTCTGGTAGGGACTTGATATACCAATCACATTGTGCGTTACAGAACTACACTGAATAAGCGCAAAAAACACTTAACATGTGTAACCAGTGAGCCAGGTGCATTGTGAATCATTTTACGACCTCAATAAACAGGGGCAGTCTGTGACATCTTAGTTAAGGTCATGCTGCCTACACCTCGTCATAAAATATAGAAATACGATATTATTAAAGTTTAAAATTAAACTTCATTTGTAAATACCATTGTCTTATGAAACAAAGAATTGGAATTCAGTGTAACCATAGTTGTATGTGATGTCTATTTTCACTTTCGCACGAGAAAATTCGGATCTGCTGAAAAGTAGGCCATTGTCTGAATAGGTTAATGAGACTCATGTTTCGGTTTGTAAGAATCTGTATTTGGGATGCCATACTCACGTTGAGGTACCGGATGAGGTTGGTAGTGTTGGTATTCTGCATAAGGGCCTGCATCTGTGGGCCCGCCTCAGCCAGCTTGGAGACCCGGATAGGGTTGATGTTACATACGGTCACGGCTGGAAATGACAAGCTGTCGAAACCAAGCTCAAGTTTCGTCTGAATTGGGAAAAGAAAGTACACCTGCCCCAGGTAGGAGAGGTGGAAGAGCATCGCTGCACATCCTCCGAGGACGATAATGAGCCAAATGCCCTTGGACCACAGCCTCCGGGAGTGATGGATATAGTTGACGCCCATCATCGATGTCATGTCCGCAAACTCGGCGGTTACAGATTTGGCCGTTTTCTTCGGGCGCTCTTCCGGTTCGGAGTTCTCTTCTGACTTTGGCATCTTGTAGTGAGGATCGTAAGAACCGGACATCTGTAACACAGAGTCAAATGAAAATGGAACCCTGCCACCAAGACTACAATAGACTGCATTCTAAGAAATGACTATTTCTTAAACGAAAAAAATAAAGAAATACGTATTTGTTATCCTAAAACTCTGGAGACAATTCTGACGGCATCGGTAACAATCAGATGACAATCAGAATGTGATGGAAAAATGTACACATATGTGTCAAGAATAAGAATTGGAATTTCAAAGGTGGACATATGGTCTTTATTACCGCCCTCGTCAAGTACTAACAACATGTATATTCAAGTTAATTGTATTTTTTAATTAGGAACCGTTTGCCATCCCTACTTGAGATACAGTGCAGTATCAATATTTTGATACAAACAATGTTACGCAACCATGACAAAACTTGAGTTGAACTACCTACAAACTGATTACTCAATTTGAGATTTCTCAGACTTTGAACATTGCTTCCTTAGCTACTATTTGCTTCTGTCATGTTGCGTGGTTAGCCTCAGACACAACAAGGTAACGGACGATGGCATGTCGTAATTAGCGACAACCATAAGTGTCATGCCACAGAACTGACAACGGATGATAGTTTACGACACCAATAAGTGTTATGCCACAGTACTGCTAAATGAAGATGGCATGAAGTAATTGTAACCAGACAGATAGTGGTACTCACTGATGTGCTGAGGCGTCGAGCTACCTTCTGTCCCCAGGTAGCGCCGTCCATGACACACGCAATTGCGTCTGTGCTACAATACCATACATCTTCCTTATAAACATCACCTACTTCATACAGACAGGTCATGTGACCTATCAAATGTCTGCGCGCGCGGTGATACCACTCGGTGAAATTACCGAGTCACGTGACGCATTAGTTCAGACGTTGAATGACTTTAATGCTTTGGTGGGATTTGCCAAACAGAATCTACCCAGATGTATCATTACAAACAGACAGCAACCATAACAAACAAACGTGATGACACATCTTGGTTGCCTTTGTTTCTACCGCAGTAATCTGATAAAAACCTTTTACTCAGATCTCTATTAATATTATGTTAACAAAAGTTGAACATTAACCGGTTTCAACTAATGATTCAGACAAGAATATCAGTACATTAGTTGATCAAATATTCCTACTTGTTGATTAACATTTCTGTTTGTTCCATTTAACAGCTCAGATTTGTGTCGGGAAATCTATGCCATGTGTTAGTACAGCATACATCTAGGCCTCATTGTTAATCCATTTTGTTGAAGTGTTGAAGTACAATTTGAAGTTTATTAATTTAATCGACACGTTTTAATATCGTCCTCGCACACGCAAATAGAGTATAAGATATTTCACGAAACCCAAAAAGCGATCTCTTGCAACGTTGTGGTAGTGATTATATCACTATGATGAGGCATATTTATATATATATTCAGCAAAAAATATTGAGTTAATGATAAATATTCATGGTTGCCCAGCACGAGTGCAGCCACATCCCTGTTCAGAGTCGTCCGATAGCCATGTTTTCCGGAGCCGCGAAAACCACGACCACGTCACAGCCGAGGGAGTCGTTACTGCAGCCGTAGCGCTCCTAGCTTTCCACGCTCCACTTTAAAACTATAAACCTTTAAAGGTAGGGGATGTAGTGTGATTATTCAGCACGCGGTGATACGAGCTCTTCCATACATCATTAATTTTGTCACTAACATCGATTATGCTGTTAGTTCATTGGGATGCTATATCACAGTGCGGCCATCATTAATGTATTATCCAAGGAATTAAGTAAATATATCGCATGTATCGGGAGTGCTCGCATGAGTGACTGTGAAATTGTCTAACATTGTGATTGAACAGACTACATTACAATTAAACCTTTTAGTCATTTCTTGTTAAGAAACATCGACAGTACCAAGTTAGGTTAACCTTTTATCTGGTCAATAGAAATAATGTGTTGTTGCAAGTACATGTATATATCAGATGTAGTTGCCATAGCGACTTGGACGCTTCACGTATAAACACTGCTGCAGCACATCCAACCTGGTTGTTGAAAGAGACTGACTGATCTCCCTAATTTACATCAGTAATCGTACTAACAACCTACTCGGGGACACGAAATATTTACCGAGACAGCAAACAAAACTTCCATTGTAACAATTGGTTCATTCAAATGATAGAGCGTGAAAGGAAAATCCATTCTGTGTTTCTATATTCATCAATTATTGTCATGTGAAGGCCATTCTACTTGATTTAGTTGAACCAAACAAGTTAGCTTTTCTGATTGCCCGGATATATCGTCTGCCACCATCCCACCATCCCACCTCCCTAGCATTGTGTAGGGATGAAGTGCATTTCAAAGTCCATGAAACAAATTATTTTCCCTTCCTCTGAGCTCTTTCGACAATACAAAATCCTAGATGAAGTAAGTCAATAGCTATTGACCATCATAGGAGAGCTGATTTTAAGGTGACAATTCATACGATGGTGAAGAAGTAAAGGGTATTTACCTGGAATGGCCGACGTATGACGGCCTACAGGTCTAGTAAACGTCGGGCAGGTAATTTAGATGCAGTCAGACTGTAAGTTATTATTTGCCAATCTTCTTACGTTTCTTGTGAGACAGTGCGTGTCGTTCACAACTAGGGCACGGTGTGCATACACCCGCATGGAAAGGTTACCTCCAGGAAGGATCAATTCCCATGATCAGAGCACACGGCATAAAAGAAGTACACAAACCCTTACTATGCACTCCGTGTTAAACACACGTCAGTTTTCTCAAACCATATGGGGATCACATGTAGATGACCCTATCTTATAGAATGAGGCACCCCCATTTCATACTCTTTAAAATACTCGTGAAGGTCCGCGTAAGACTACTGATCTTCAGTAACCCTTGCTTGTCGTAAGAAGCGACTAACGGGATCGGGTGGTCAGGATCGCTGACTTGGTTGACACATGTCATCGGTTCCCAATTGCACAGATCGATGCTCATGCTGTTGATCCCTGGATTGTCTGGTCTAGATCTAGACTCGATTATTTACAGACCGCCGCCATATAGCTGTAATATTGCTGAGTGCCGCGCAATACTAAACTCACTAACTCATTACTCTTTAAGAATATTAGTGTAAGAGTTTGTAAACCTGCCACTGGAACTCTGCAAATTTCGAGTAATTTTAATTGGACAATTTCGAAATGCTTGAAACAGTACATCTAATATTCAATTCCCACCATCAACGAAACATTTAGATTCGCCGTTGGCTTTCATCATGTCAAGACGTACATGTGTACGTCAGTATTTTAAACAACTGATCCGTCAACACATCCAATATATCATTGATTGAAATGAACTATCTGTGTAACACTTGACCTACATGTATATACCTTTCAAAAAACTACTGGATGGTATGACCTGTTTGATTAACATCGATCCATATAACAGATGCAGATATGAACTGTGTGGTTGAGTTATGACCTATCAATATGTCCAACATACAATTGGTTGATATGAACTGTATGGTTCAGGTGTGACCTATCAATAAATCCAACATACTACTGGTTGATATGAACTGTACGGTTGAGGTATGACCTATCAATAAATCCAACACACAACTGGTTGATATGAACTGTTTGTTTGAGGTATGACCTATCAATATACATGTATCCAGCATACTATTGGATGATAGGAACTGTATGGTTGAGGTATGACCTATCAATATAACCAACATACAACTGGTTGATATGAACCGTATGGTTCAGGTGTGACCTATCAATATATCCAGGTTACTACTGGATGATATGAACCGTATGGTCCTGGTTGATATGAACTGTATGATTCTGGTTGATATGGCCTGTGAGGTTGAGGTGAAGTGAACATGTAAACCTTTATGGTTGAGTTGTATGGCTGAGTGTTCGTTCAGTAAAGGCTGTCACAGCCCAAGGCAAGGAATGTCATCAACAGATCAGCAGGTTGTTAGTCGCACCAGGACACGCCTGGTTGGTTCGGAAGCTTTAATCAAGTGTCAACAGAAAGACTTTTTAGAAAGGTCTAACTTTGCTATAACTAATGCTACATAATATGTAGGTACGAGTGAATAGGGGTTATTGGCATATATACACGGAAAGGCATAATAAAGATAGGGTAAACAAGTGAAAGTGGATAAAAGTACAGGTGGACTGGTGTATGGTAGAGAAAGGGGACAGTGAGAAGAGCGACAAATGAGGCGAGATAAAGGAGGGAGAGGGGTGGGTAGGGACAAAGCGGAGAGAGAGAGAGAGAGAGAGAGAGAGAGAGAGAGAGAGAGAGAGAGAGAGAGAGAGAGAGAGAGAGAGAGAGAGAGAGTGAGTGAGGAGAGAGAGAGAGAGAGAGAGAGAGAGAGAGAGAGAGAGAGAGAGAGAGAGAGCAGGGACAAGGCAGGTGGAGACAGAGGGTAGAGAATAGAGTGCAGAATGGGGATAAATAAAGGAATGAGAGGCACAGGAAAGAGGGTAAACATAGGGAAAATAAATAATGGGAAGAAAGGGCCAATATATGGTTAGTATGTGAGTTTTGATAAGGGTGTGAGCAGGTCGGGATAAGGTGATAAAAATGAGGCTAATTCAACGAAACTAGCATAGTAAACGTGGGACCTATTTGGCAACTGATCTCCACGAAACCAGCAAGGGGAGTTTGAGGAATAGTATGCCACAAATTCCTAAAATGTGACAAGAATGGGGAACTGGGGACTTTTTCTGTTCCGGAATCCCTGCAGAGAATAAGGCATGGGTTACTGGGGATCTATTTCTGGGCATCTCAACAGTGAGACAATGAAGTATTGGGGAGTGGGAACCTATTTTTCCAGGGATCCCTGCAGAGGTACATACATAGGGAACTGGGTACATTATCCTCTAAGGCGACTGTTATCTACTGCTAACTCTATAAACACAGACAATACAAACAAAGAGTTAAATTATCACGGATACCTGTGACATTGCCCCGTCAGTGTAGAACCTCCGGTCTGTGTAGGGGAATCCGTGTGAATCCATATGTGCGTGGAGATGAGTGTAGTCTCGCTATGTCAGGTTGGATGTCACCTCCAAGCAGCAGTCTCAAAAAAACGTCAACTCCTTGTTGATACCCCGTCTATAAGGCCATGACGATGCTGAAACCCTCTCCCACGACACGCTCTATAATTCGACGGTCATGTGACATCGACATCGGGAGGTGACGCAGCTACTATTCAGTATTCGGCAAGGGTGTATGCAACACTTATACTTACCCATTGTATCAGACAATTTATCTCTCAAAGAGGCAATCAGACCGTGACGGTGACTGATTTCTGGGTGTAAGTGGAAGGAAGACATCGTGACAAAAACATCCTACCGGCTTAAATATAGTTCCCATTTTGAGATATTCGTGATTGTGTTTTGATGACCAGTGGCCCAAAATGACTCACATAGCGTTTGGCATGCTACTTGCCAGTTTGAGTCTGTTCGTCGCGTCAGTTTCACAAAAGGCGTGCTCTGTGGAAGGTGACGGATTCTACCCACAGCACCTACATGATGATTGAGGAGCGGTAGGTTGTAGGGGGGTGTTTGGAGCTGGGTACATGCTCAAGTGGCCGTGGGGCGGTCGGGTAGCCTAGTGGTTAAATCGTTCGCTCGTCACGCCGAAAGCCCGGGTTCGATTCCCCACACGGGTACAATGTGTGAAGCCAATTTCTGGTGTCCCCCGCCGTGATAGTGCTGGGATGTTGCTAAAAGCGGCATAAAACTACTCACTCACTCAAGTGGTGTTTTGATAGCAGGAAAAGACAACCTCTATTGTGTTAGTGAGCAGGGAGGGCTGATACTGCAAGGAGGAAGACACCATTGCTTGATGGTGCTATGATTGAATCAAACACGAACAGGGTATTGGACGGTGATGTATTAAATATGGCGATCATAGTTGAGTTATTGGCATTAGTTTTGTACTGTTTCGCTGACTGACCTCAGTCCAGTAACGATTTTGGTCGTTTTGAGGTAAAAATCCATTTCGAGTATTCACTATTTTTGTCTGACAACAAACAAGGTGGTGTTCAATGCTCGTCTAATTTCTTCGTACCAGACATTACGAGCGTGGCCATGTTTCTAGTGTATCACTTCCTTATCAAAGCGGATATCCTGCTCGACTTACATCAACTGATCACACTGCTTATGTGGAGACTAACTTGAGGATGAATTTCGAAATCTCAGCTTAAAAAATACCGTAGAACAGGAGCGTTGTTTCTTTCATGCATGAATAATTTTTGTTCAGATACAGGTGCATGATAACTAACACTGACATAGATAGGGGTGTTACGACGTAAATTGTAATAAAACACAAACTGTAATACTTGCAGCAAATTCCAATAAACTTGACGTAAATTGTAATATAAACGTAAATTGTAATAAAAATTGACGTAAATTGTAATACGCAAATTGTAATAAAAATTGACGTAAATTGTAATACTTTCGTTGCGGTAAAATGTAATAAATATTTACGTAAATTGTAATAACAGTTTTAATCACTCGTAAATAGGCGGGTGTTTGTTTTTCGTTGCATTTCATACATCAAATAAGCTTGTTAGGGCGATAACTCAAGAAAGAAATGATGGATTTTGTTCAAATTTGGTACCAAGGTATATTGGTGAGATTCACCGACACAAGTAAAATGGAGTGACCTTGAGATAATTTTCAAGGTCACAGCAAAAATCTGAGGGTTTTGCCAATATAAAGATTGTTAGCGCGATAACCCAAGAAAGAATTGACAAATCTTAACCAAATGACGAAAATAATATTCGTCCTGACATAGAATCGATATAAACTGTCCTCTGTATCATGTCTTTTTGCACATATCTTTTGATGTTTTGATATGTATAAATATAAAGTAGGGTGGGTCGGGGTTGGGTTTCTAACGGTTATAACAAATCAAATCAAATCAAATTAGACATTTGTATAACACTACATATCCAGAGTCCTGCTCATGTGCGCTTAGTCGAATGCTCGTTTGAAGAGGATGGTTTTGAGACACGATCGGAAACTGTTGATATTTTCCGATTTTCTGACATTTTCAGGTAATAAATTCCAGAGTACAGCACCCGGTCTGCTAAATGATCTGTCTCCGTATGCTGTGGTTCGGACAAATGGAATAGCCTAGCTGACCAGCAATGAAATGCATCACAAATTACACTTCAGGAAACAAAATATGCAAGAAACATTTTTGTATGTTTGAGATTGGTAGAGGTCGGCTAGAATCAAACTTAGATATTAAACTGCACAAAAAGGCAATTTGAAACTACAATCGCTTTTTCAAATGACTACCTCTTCGGTTTACTGAAAGAACTCAAGAAAGAAATGATGGATTTTGTTCAAATTTGGTACCAAGGTTTATTGACTGGAGATTGGAGATTTACCGACACCACTTGAATTTTGTGACCTTGAGGTCATTTTAAAGGTCACAGCGAAGGTGTAACAGTTTTACACACGCCAAGCTTGGTAGCCGCGAACTCAGGAAAGAATTAATAGATTTTGATCTAATTGTATATCAAGGTGTATTGATGGGAATCCCCCTGCACCAATTGAAACAAAATATGCAAAAACCATGTTGTATGTTGGTAAAAGTCAAACTTAGATATTAAACTGCACAAAAAAAGCAATTTTAAACTATAATCGCTTGTTCAAGTGACTCCCCCTTCATGTTTACTGAAAGGGCTTGTTTGGGAGACACTACCAACCCCCTTTCAGTTGACGTCATCATAAGGATATAACTCATCCTAAAGTTTTCACTTATTCATACATGGTGTCAAGGGTTCAAACTAAATACTGAATGGTCACACAAGTGTCAGTTCTCAATATGTTGTATATCTGGACACAACGTTTTTGAAAATTTAAAATGAGGGTGTCCTCAGTCCCCGTCTAAATGTAAATCAAGCAATCCAAATCTTTGAATGTTGATGATGA